AGAATGAATAGCGCTTTACTTGTCTAAGAATAGACGTACATAAGCTGAAAATGAAGGCAAAAGCGTGGTTAATACAACACGATAATGTGAGCACAAAGAATATTCATGACAGTAGTGTATTCAGAAAACTCTTCTCTCAGATTTTCGTTTCCGTCCGATACACCGTAATTTCCATCCTTCACCTAGGGCCTCCATCGTGTTCACCTCATCGATAATTTCGCTATACGAGCTCTCAACGAGCATCAATGTCATATGCTGTCATCCACACGGCGAATGTTTGGAGATGTCAACATATGAGGTTTTGTCTATCACTCGTTCCCTTTCTCTTGTCCTTACATATATAAACCGACAATTCAATGGCACCTAGGTATCATCGTTCTCATAATGATGGTGGTCTAAATGTTGATGATAGCGATGTCTCATTCTTGATTTTCCACCCTCTTCGTTCCTCCTATGTAACGGCATGAACTATAGTTTAGATGACCGAGATTCGGGTGTCGAATTTTACCACATCCATATGAGACGTGACTATTGCATCTCATGTAGTAGAATATACTTCACAGAAGAAGTGCATTGGAAATACATTCTTTGTTTCTGTAAAATGGGAGTGAGATTTGATGGAATGGAAGAAAAACTCAGAATGACGACTCAGGCGCGGAATAGTTTGGACCGCATTCGAGGCTCTGTTAGCCCAACTCTAACAGGAAAGAAAAACAGAATTCGTCTGTTACTATGACCAAATATATATTTAGCGTTAGGTTGTTCCCGTACTACCGCGAATCTCGTTTATAGGTGGTCCGTTTTAAGTGGTAACTGGATACTTGGTTCGCGAATGACATCCGGTTTTGATGTTTTTCCAGATGTCGTTGTATCCCACGTTTGAGGAATTAAAAGTAGATCAACTTTTGAACGAGCAGAATGCGGCTGTTCGTGACGCCTATGCATCAATGGCGTCCTACATGGGCCTTGATTTAAATAACTTCCACTACGATGCTCATGGCGAACTTGTCCCTGGTCCTCCTCCGAATTCGACCCATCCTGAAGCCCCTTCGCCTTACCCTGCCATCCAAACCCCATCCATCATGCCTCAACCAGCAACTGGCCCCCAAACGGTCGCCGGTGCTCAGCCAGTCGCGGTTCCTTTTGGCTCGGGATCTCGCGCACTTGTGACCCCTACCGGACCTACTAGTGAAATAAAACAGGGTCTCCGTCGCGTAGTCCTCTGCAAGAACTCAGAAGGAAAAGTGGGCGTTCAACTCGTTTCGGTGGACAATGTGAGTGCCCTGTCCTGTTTTCATGTTAGGAAACTGCTGTGAAGAATAACCAGTCGCTTGGTTACTTGACTTCTGCCAGGTTCACCTTTCTTACCAGTACTTTCATGATACCCGTTTTTTAATATCAGCACCTCCCTACCCTACAAGCAATATTTAATTCAATAAGGCCTTATAAAGAACTTGGTGAGGGCGATGACTTACGCCTTGCCCACAACACAGAGAAATGAACTGTTGCGGTGGCTGTCTATTCCCCGGTCCTAGCTGCGTTACGTTGCACACGACTGTCCGCTGGTGTTTCGGGTCTCTCGGCTCCATATTTCTGCTGAGACAGACCGTATGAGCCCTCGACCTAGCACGGCATGGGCAACAGTGAAATCGATTACATGCAAAAGGTGTCCTCAGCATGACGTGGTTTCTTGAGGCGTTTTCGTGTTACTATCGAGAATTCCTCACTGTAATATCGCACACAAGAAAACACAGTAGATACCAAGATCGCCAACCCCCTATTTGGAGGGAATGGTAGCCTTATCACCACATTACAGTTTGTGAATTAGATGCAGACAGTGCTTGTTGAGTGGAGCTAACCACAATCACATCCCGAATAGTAGCTAACCGATGATTTACAACCAGTCACACGGAGAAGCTCCTGTTCCAATTTTCTTATTTATTGCTTGGCTATAATTTTCTACAGGCATGTTGTTTCTTCGCTAGCTTGCTCCAAATTAACTGTCACCATCTGTGGTAAGTTGAGCTTATCGGCTCGAAAATAGCTAACGGGTCGTTAAGCTTACTCCGGTCTTTTTTATTTATCTCACTCGCTTCCTGTGGTATAATTGCGCTCAGTGGTCAGGGCACGAACATACTGACCGGAAGGTCCGTGGTTCGCACCTAACCTCAGCCCACCGACTTGTTAGCCCTCGTGCTCCCTCCGGGTGGCATGGCAGCTAGACACAGTAAGTGTAGTACTTCTGAACAATTGCTTTTTTTTACTTCTCAGGGAGTCTTCGTTTCAATGGTTAGAAAAGATTCACCCGCGGCTCTGGGCGGTCTACGATTTGGTGACCAGATTATCTCCGTCTGTGGTAAATTGATGGCCGGGAAATCAGGTGAAAGCGCCATGAAAACTCTTCGCAAAGCACCCGTAAACAATATCGAATTAATTGTGCGTGATCGGTAAGTGCAGACAGAATGTCGGTGTGTCTCCCTATCCCTAAGTTTGTTTTGCGAACCAAAGTTATGCATTCAGTCCAGGTAGTAGGGTCCAGCTCTTCGTTTTGCGACTACCTTTCTAATGTAACTGCATTCCTCATTTTTTGATGTTGTAGGAAGTAAGCGTTTTTGGTAACTTCAGTCTAGAGGAAACCACTTTCCTCTCTCGAGGAGTGTCCTTATTGTACAAATTGCTTTTGCAGTCATGTAAACATGTAATCTGGCCGTCTACACACTGAAAAGTGTCATTTTTCGGGGGTTGCTAGTGAGTTTGCTGTGCTTATCGTGTGGGCAGTCTAATCAATCTTAGTGTAAGGGGGGATTGGCGTCAATCGGATGACTGGGGTTGCTGGCAGTGACTGGGCTCGTGAGTACAGTTGAATGCTGATGACCAACATGCACATCCTACTCGGTCGTAACTCACCTGTTGACGCACATGGTCAGTTTTACCCCAAAATTTCAACCAGTTGAAGGGGTGTGTAAGATAATGCAAAAGGATTCAACTCGCAATTGTTCTCCGTGATTTCTAGAGTGGTGAACAAATTAATGGCACTGTTATTGATCGATTAGGAATGGTTGAAGTTTGTAGGGGTGGTGCTTCTTGAACACAGTTTATGCATACTGAAGTAACCCAGCGGGTCATGGATTTATTATAGATTTGTATTGTATGCAATGATTAGTGATGCATTTCGTGTATATTTGGGTGCCGCTCGATCATCTTTGCCACAATCACTCATAAGAAAACCACTGGTGCTTCACTACTTCACAACCATACTGATTTGTATACAGAAAACCCTATAATATAAATAAGAAAAATGGAACTGGGAAGCGAGCTAACGCTAGGCTCCACAAAAATTCTAGGATCCTATATTTCGAACACTGTCAGACGATCGAAAGGAAAACTGACACCACCGGTGTTGGTTAACCATTGTCCTTTTCCAAGCTCACTGAGGATCATGTAAGTCCCATTATGGAAGTCGAACAGCTTTCAGGCTTTTCGTGACATCCTTTATTCCCTTCTGCTGTACCATATTTTATCGGATTAATAGTCATGTACGCTGCTTTTCTCGGTGGACGCTAGCATGATATGTGTAGAACACGACCGAGGCACTTTAACTTGGACTCCTGACTGGGGTTCTCAAGTGAACTACCTGCTGCTTCATAAAATGCCTGATCCCTGACGAATTGATTACGATTTCATCCATTCCAGCCAATTTCGGCTGTATTTCAGGCACAAAGGTGGCAAAACCTGAAGATGTATCAGATTATCCACCCATAACGGCCAGGTTCCCAGTGGTGATACAGTGAAGCCCGAAATGTAGTCTGGAACTCACGCCCTTCGAGAGCCACTTGTGCCTTTCTGATGATATGGGTGGCGCAAATTGAAAAAACAGGCGATCCGGATGAGCACTAACTTTTCAACCTTAATCATGGTAGGTGGAAGTTCCCCAGGACCGTTGACGTAATGGCTATTGGAGGACAAAATCCACTTGATTGTCTTGAAGCTGCCTGAACCCACTGCCAATGAACCCATCATGGGTCGGAAATTTGGATGAACAATAGCAGGTGGCCAGTTGAATTTTTGTTCAAAATGTTCAGTCCGATGAATCGGAATTCTTAATTTCTCTCAAAGATGGGCGAGTCATTTTTATCGCCCCACTCTCCGGGGCAGGGGGGCATACATTCCGACATATTAGTCGGAACAGTGTTGGTACATTCCCGTAATTTGTTGATCACTCCTTTTGACTTCTTGGGCCCGGCAAGCCCTTCAACCAGCTCACTTTCATCTGGCGTTCGACGATTGGTTGAGTTTTGTTCTTCTCCGGACTAGCAGGACCTAGGCCTCGAGATCCAGTGCTTGGGAGTAGTTCGGTGCGCCGTAGCACGAACAGCGTACTCAGTACTTTGGAGCAATGTTGATAGTAATTCCCAGAAGGAGGCGTTACCAGGAGACGGATAAGGTGGCTGAGATAGTTTTCATAGGTTTACTTCACTTAAGGGTCTGCGAGCTTCCCAAAGGTCATGTGAACTGTGTACATCTTGTCTAGTCCCAAAAGCGCGAAGAAGAGCAGCAACGGACAAGCGCATGATCAGAGTCCCCTTGGGCGTTTCAGAACAAACGGAAATCCATAGGTGGTCCAGGCCTAGCTTTGTTTGAAATTTACTTGTATATGGGGGCACGATGTGACCGTACTATTTGGGTTTCAGAAGTTAGTGAGGCACAGAAACAGTCTGCGACCGACAGCCGCAGCAGATATTCCCCATTGTGCGCGATTTTTGATTCCGACCCAAGAAGACCGCTCAGCTTAGCCTCAGTGGCACTTGTCTACTTGCTTACTCCCTTGTATCGATACCACAACATATACGTTTTCAATCCGCTGTAATGAGGCGGTTTGAGCATCGTGAAAACTGTCATTGAGAGTCTGTTGGGACATGAGCAATTACAATTAGTAGGCAGATAATACCACGCATTTCGTTAAATGGACCATATGTAAGCGACTATCAACGGGCATCTAATCAGGCAGAGATCCTTCCACTTGACTGCTTAAAGCAATACCAAACCCAGCAGAGCCAGCCGCCTTGGCTTCTGGGTCATCAGGAGTACACCACTGGAAACCGGACTTCCCCAGTAGAAAGTTCAGTTCAGCAATCGTATTCGAGTCTCGGACCATTGTCTCAGATGCGCGTGATCCCCACTGTCTATTTGGAGACGCTGTAAGATATGCCCGCCAATCGATGTCAATGGCGTTCTTGTTGTTAGTTTCTATCCAGATTATCTGGAGGAATGTCTGGAGGTGTAGGCACCTCGGAACGATCGGAGTAAGTTAGCATTAAGTCCCTTCCCACGTCCACTATTCTTTTCTTTTGAATAAAGCGTGGTTGTACGGTAGTGAAGCATCAGTGTTGAACACTGATGAACACCCAGATGAACTGACCATCTGGGTTTGAAGAGTGATTCCGATGTGGCCAGATTGGTGGTAGCTGATTTAAGCGTCGGTCTTGCAGCTAACGGCAGTGTACGTCGGACTGACCTGCTGACCCTTGGGAAAAGGTCTATGAAGGTGGAAGAAAAATGAATACATGAATGCGGATAAATGGAGTGTCTGCAGTAGTCTATTTTGGCTTACCTGGCCTGCAGTGTGCAGCAATTAAGCTGAGCCGGTCAATGGCGTCGCGCACCGGTTGATTAGGCGTCAGGTTACTTGCAGTCTTCGCGATTAATGGTTGTTCGTGGGCTCGATTGTATGACCCAGTTTCGTACGAATCGCGTGAAACTTAGCCCCCCCCCCCAGTTGGCAGTGTGCAGCAATTAAGCTGAGCCGGTCAATGGCGTCGCGCACCGGTTGATTAGGCGTCAGGTTACTTGCAGTCTTCGCGATTAATGGTTGTTCGTGGGCTCGATTGTATGACCCAGTTTCGTACGAATCGCGTGAAACTTAGCCCCCCCCCCAGTTGGCGGGCAATCAGATCATATAGTAGTTATTAAGAGGAATAAAGCATGCTGTTCCGTTTACTTTTTAACTATGTAGCCGTTCCGCATCTAGGCCTCAAGGTTAACCGGGGATGGACTCGCTTCGATTCACTACGGAGTTGGATATAAGATGAGAGTATAATGCTAAATGCAGTATTGAGTTTAAACCTAATACAACAATCCCTGGGCTTACTCGAATAAGGAACATAGATCACTTGTTGAGTTGGAGTTGAAAGAGTCTGAGAAGGACCTGTAACTTCTATCCTCTCATGGAGGCTGTTGCATTTCAAAGGGATCAGTTTCTACAACGAAATTTCGTGATTGCCGTGCGCACTCGTGTGTTTGTACCAGAGAGGGGATTTCGGTGAATGTGCAACCGGTCGAAAGGTTCACCGTCTTCCGACATCGTTGGAAGCGAAAACGGGGAAAGCTCTTGGTTCACTTTTCAAACGTCGTTCAGTTGACAACCCGTAGCTCCTTCCGTGTATTCCTCCCGTTACAGCATTGATGGGTGAGTCAAATCTGTCTTCCCTTACTGATGTTCCGGTTACCATTGACCCCTCCTTTATCAATGGTAGGTAGCTAAGGGTGTTGATTAATAACCTGGGTGGAGCGAGGTAACTGGTTGCGAACCGGAATCGTCAGCATTGATTACTACCTTGATCATTTTAAGCCGAAAAATGAAGGGGTGTTTGGATCTATGCTCACTAGCAACGTTAATCCAAGTTGACGATAACTAGTCAGTGGCCCTGCGAATGGGTAAAATGTATTGTAAATTACCCATGTACACCTCCTTCTTATATTAGCTACCCTTTATCTATCAGCCACTTTGGTACCATTGCAAACCTGGATCAGCCCATATATCCTACTAACTATGTATTCGTTCTAGGATTCGAACAATCTTTCCAAATCCAGACTAATTGACATAATATCAATTGGACATTTCTCATTGCTCTATGGGCAACCTGTCAGTGGAATAAATACCTGTAGATGATTCATCATTGTCAGCTGTGATAACCGCGTACTCGTCGTACAGTGGTTTTTACAGACTTCCCAACACTCAGGGTTCTTTTTCGTTGAATAATTTTGACCTTCGTTTGGTAACGCTTGTATGACCGCGGTGTTGAGGACGAGCAAAACTCATGGTGCCTATTTAGCCTACTTTAAAGCCACCTGATGAACCGATCTGATATGCCAACATTCTCCAAATCTTATTCGTTTCGCTTCGCAGTACTCAATCCGATCAGTAACTCCATTAATTACAACAACTGTCTTCTGTTTGAACATGAAATGACTGTATTGTGTTACGGGATAGCTTACTGTTCGCAGTTATGAGTGTTTTGATAGCACTATCCCAGCGTAGCACAACTAACTGGAACACTTGCTACCACTCATTAACACATTTTAGGTTTGCTGCAATCGGTCTGTATATCTTAGTAAGGGAAACTGTTCTACTTCTTCTGATCATGTTGTTCCTGTCCCAGAAGTTGGTATTCATCAAGTTGTCGTACGGAACTTCCAAAATCTTCCGAACAAACATTCATATTTGACAGTGACGTCCACTTCGTCAGCTTTCCTGTAGCTTCGTGTTTGATACAATAATGAGTTGGATGCTGGAGCTGTCCTAAAACTCGCTTTGAAATCGCTTCAGCTGAGATTCTTCTCGAAGTGGAATGGATAGACTCCACGCTTCTCACAGTTGAAAATGCTGTAGGAACCCAAACGTTTTTGAAGAAAGCCTATGAAAGGTATTCTATCCATCTCATGTACTTTTTGTCCACGAAATGGGAAGTCATGCTGCAGATTATACCTTTGAATAACCAATTCCACGGGAGACTCTGGGGGCTGTGAGAATAGCTGCGTTAGCCCTGGGACGAAATCTAGAATGAGTTCTCCGCGAGTCTCAAAGGTCAGGATTGATTTTGCCAATTTACGCTACTTGTGGCATCAGAAACGCAATCTTTGGATGTCAAACTACACTATGGGAATTGTTGTTAAGTGATTGTGAGGCCTGGTACCGAGGACCTCAGGAGTCATCAGGCCTTTGACCGTTAGTACCAACAAATTACTAATGCTATGACCAAGAAAAGGCTGTTGATGAGTTATTATATATTTTACTTATGAAATGCACATTTCATCACAAACTGGAACAGTTCGGTCAGTTCTGGCTACTCATGACGAGTGATTGGCCGCCTGGAATAGCGTTTTCCACATCAAATCCAGATTATCGCAATCTGAGAATGGAGTAAAGTGTTACGTCACAGAGGGGATTGGAGGTGTTGTCAGTGGTCTCCACTATCCAGGATATTTCCTCTTTACTAGGCCTCCTTCCCTTCCCATTCCAACAAAATAACTGACAGGGAAACTAGTGTCTACGATGGTGTCCCTGATACTCATGATGCTGCTGCTGTGATAGTGATGCTTCTTTGGAACATATGTAATTTCTGAGACTCAATATGCTGGATGTAGCCGTGACTCTATGATAACAGAATACTTTGGAAGCCCGTGACCCTCAATTCTACCATTTGTCGTTCACTGCTGATCGGTGAGGACAGCCAGACACGGAACCGTCGTGTTCCTGCCGTCTTCGTCCGTTCCACCACACTGGTGTGCTGGGCTACTTCTCGTTTTATTATTATTGTTACTATTAGGCCGGTTAGAGGTCCACATATCCAAAAGAAAGTGTACTTGTTGATGATCTCAATCTTACTGTGAGTACACTCCATGCTCCCTTCAGATAACTCATCTCTGCTCGTAAATATTGTTTCACTTCCGGCAGCCCATTTGAGCGCACCATCATGGTGAACAAGAGTAGCTCGGGTAACATCGGCATAACACTCAATGATGGTGAAATCATAGCGGTCGTCGCAGACTCGAGTGCTGCTCGCAATGGTGTGCTAACCAAACACCAAGTTGTTGAAGTTAACGGACGAAATGTGATGGGTATGAAGGATAAGGAGTTGAAGGAACTACTTCATTGCAACCGGGATCCTGTACAACTAACAGTTTTGCCGACCGTGATTTACAAGCACCTTGTAAAACGGTAAGTCGATGAATTTTCGTCAGTTCTGTTTACTTTTCATTCGGTTTTTGTCTAAGCCACTAAGGGTACCTTATTTTTTAGGGTAGTGGATGTATGCTTCTAATTTCCGCCGCCTTGACTTACACTTATGGTGGCAGAATCCCAACATGATACTGACTTACAGCAGTGAATGATCTGTGTAGATACTTGTAACTACCCAATACTCAAAAAAGTATTGGTGGTGGTGCCTCTTGAAAAATAATAATCGTTCAGCTGTAACACTCGGTGCCTAGCTGCCCTGCCACCCAAAGGAGACACGAGGGATGTGATAATGCCAGATTGCCAAGCCTAGACAGGGGAAGTCGAGAAGCGGAGGTCGGGTTCGAATACTGACCTTCCGGTCAGTAAATTCACGCTCTAACCATAGAGCCATCTCGCCGCGTGGTGCCCCTTACGTCACTGTAAAAGCTATCTCGATGTGACTGTTTTGGTGAATAAGCTAGTTGCTAAATTACTGGTGCGCATAACCTTCCTAAGCTAAGTTAGGGTTTTGCCGATGTCCAGGGTGTAGCAGGCTGCGTTAGCCTATTCAAATGGAAGTTTAGACCAGATCCGCGTGCTACTTAAGACCAACGCTCTCTTAGTAATAGAACTCCACTTTCGATTAGTGGTGTATTGGGAGTTCTAAAATCCTGACCTGTATGAACCTGTGACATACAATGGTGATAGTGTTAAAAGGGAGTCTCGAATGCCTTCCATGGCGGCTTCCTGTCATTGCGGTTGTATATGGGTGATAACTTTTTGCTCCCGGGCAGGTAACGCCCATGGTTTGTTGGAATCTGTCAGCAAACTGGATAAAAACTTTGTTTTTATCATGAGAACATTAGTCTCCGTGACTTCAAGAGAGTAACACAACAAATGCAATTATTTGTCCATTAGTCTCCTTCAAGAGAGTAACACAACAAATGCAATTATTTGTCGAATGCATGAAAGTTCTGATATATATGAACTTTGTATGAACTTTTCTTTGGTGCACTCTATGTATATCGAATGCTCACTTATAACGCTGGCATCAGACAGCGTCAGAAATTGCCACAATGAAAATTCCACGACTAAACACAAGAAAAAAATTTGTAGTGACGCCTTGTGAAGGGTAAATATACGTCTATGGAATCGGACGCCCTGTCCCCTATATTGGGAAGACTCAGGTGAATGGGAATACGCGTCCGGGGATATGGAACGTAGGTCTATGTCGCTCCCCGAAATGCGCAGCTCTTTCCCATAACTTTATAAAGTTTTAAATCTAGGTTTTGTTTTAATAATGACTCATTTGGCGCCAGTGTCTTAGTTCACGATGTCATCAGTGTCATACCCTACTCCGCCTTCGCGTTTGCAATAGTGAGCCACAGTCCAGTCTACTCAGCTCGAACATGTTGTTCACTTCACTCTGCCGTTTACCGCACATTGGCCTGAGCACTGAACCGATTTCGACAGTCGTTTTACTTATATCAGAAGTGCCTGTTATAAACACGACTTTTGAGCTGCTAAACAGCTGGGATTGCTTGCGGTCCGAACATCTCATTTATGCCTAGTTGGAAAGTTGTCTAATTGTCTGAACAAAGGAATGCTTCACTCTTCATACGGAGTAACTGGCTTACCCAACATTCGCAGCTTATCTGTACTGATCTAATCGTCCTCAGGAGTGTAATCCGAAATAACGGTATCTACATAGCTGGATTTCACCAATGCTTCCCGAGACATAATTCGAAGTCCTGTGAAAAGACCATTGTTCGCAATCACTTACTATTGTAGGTAACCCGGTGTTCATTTTCCTGGTCTCTGGGCTGGGCATTGAGAATCGATGTAAATTGATCCATCATCGTTCTGAATAGCATCTTTATTCAATATTCTGACGATCGAACGGCCACTGGAATGATACCATTAGCTCTTGTCTTATTATCCTTCTCGACTACTTCTTTTCCACCCGGTTCCCTTCCAGCCTGCTGAATAATCAAATCCGCAGAGAAATGGACCGTTCTGACCCATCCGCCTGATTGGCTTGTGACTTCAGCTATTTGTATGTAAGCTTTACCAGAGCGAACTCCGTTTGTCACCTCATTTTACTTCAACACAACTTCACTAAGTTTACGAGTGTTCTTCAGTCAACTTACTTTATTGCTACATCCGCCATTCAGATACCGATTTATCTGTGGTACATCACCGAGGAGCGTACACGCATTTTTTTTCATCACGTTACAATTGGACGGTTATAATTTTGTTCCTATCCTCTAAACGTTTTTATGCTTTCGCTTTTGAACTGAAAATCCATTGTTTGTTATCCGGAATTTCACTTTATTTCGACTCGTTTCTGCTTCGCTACTTGTCTTGTTGGGTTGGTTGTGGTCCTTGGTGGTCAACTTAAGACAGTAGCCAAGGAGCTGGGATGGCCTTTCATTAAGTTACTTGGACTCTTATTTGGGGATGAAGGGCTGTGTATCTCGTACGTTGCTACTACCACTGAGCTTATCGAAAACAGCGCACACAGCATGTGGAGCTTGCTTCGCGGTCGGACTTCTCTGTGTGCGATTCTTCGGTGGCTTTATACGAGCTCCCATAACCCACAATCATAGGAGGCTTCGGGTTGCACGATATACCCCCGGGCGATGTTACAGCCGAACAAGTTGACCTGGTTTTTTTGTATCACTGTTGAGTTTCACGAAGCACGCAAAATAGCCCTTGATGACAACGCCATCAAAGCCTAATACTAGGTACTCGGGTCGTTTTACTAGATAGATCCAGCTGCATTGATTAGGTCAATAACATCTATATTTCAGGTACGAACTGCGAAAAAGCAATGTTCATTGTCTCTTTGTGCCTTTATCAACCAATAACTACCGATCCCAAACGCATTCGGCTCACTGGTACAATAATATTTCGGATCTATATTATTCCAGATGAGCACAAACAGCCAGTCCACCTCTCGAGATCATACTTGGTGTTTGCTTCTCCTGATGGCGCTCTGGTCTAATTGCTCGTCAGTTTGCCAGGACCAGTCAAAGGAAACATGTTAACTCAATCTGGGAGATACTTTTGAATTAGTCAGCCAGATTATAGGTTTAAAGTTTGAAAATAGCACGATTTTTCAGCGTGCCGTCGCTGGTCATTTACGTAGAACTCGTGGAATTTACTTTCGTGACTTAGTTTTGTCTGACCTCGAGATGCCTCAGGTGCTACTTTACTAATTAGAAGGTCGAAGCTAACCCCGGCATCTCGACCGCTCCTGTCTAGACTTGGGAAACCTGGCAGTATTTCAGCCCTCGTGCTTCCTTCAGATGACATGTCAGCTAGGAGCCGAAAGGATGTTGCGTGCAGTGAAAACTACCTACATTCCTATACCTCGAGGAGCTGCGACGAATTTACATCTACAATTCAGTTTAGTTTCAAACTTATCGGCAGAAGGACGGGATTGTAATGGGATCCCCCTTGGCTTCTTTGGTAAAACTCCTCATAAGACACTTGAGACTGACAAACCGAGCGCTCTGCAATGTATGATCGCCCAGCGGACGATATTTTCGCACTTGCCAGTAATAGCATCAGCACAATTGACGTATTAGACAGGTTAAGTTCCACTCACTCTTGAATCGGAACAAACCAACAGTTGAATTTTCTTGATGTTACTATCCAAAGGAAGACCGATGAGGACAAAGAGCACAAAGTCCATATAAAATAAGTCTGGATAGGCCTGAATGTTCACTTGGATACCTTCATTTTGCTGCAGAAGAAGCGTGAATTAACGAGATGTTTGAAGGGCATGTTCTTTCGTTATTCACGAGAGGAGCTGGATTCTCCTGCATGGTCATGCAACGTGACATTTGTTGGACAGAATGGGTGAGAAGGTTTGGCAAACAGTCGGTGGTTTTTAACTGGACAACGTCTCGCTTTTGACACATGCTTCATCAGGCCAAGTCAGCAGGTCACCAAGTTGGCCAGGTTTTCAGGCAGATGGAGAAGCAATCAATAAAACATCTTCAGATTAGCACACTAGATCAGTATTCAATGTCAATTAAAGGGTTTTATCGGTCGGTGTAGTTGCTTAAATCTTACGGTTGATGGGTTGGCGGAATTTCGGATTGTTTGATGGGGTTTGGTTCCTTAATTTTCCACTTTAGACTGCTTCAATTGATGATCCACCTTCGGTGCCACTGACAGAGTTCTTTGGTCTGTGTGGGCTTGTGAGTGCTAGGCAATTTAGTTGTGGGGGTTGTTGGGATTAAGTGCTCTTCAGATCTAAGTTCTGTCAATGACTCCTCTGCACCACCAATTGTCAGCTAGACTGATCTAAAACCGTTCTCCGCATGCTTGCCAATCCTACGCCTTCTATTCTATTTATACTGGATTGCTTGGCAATTCCCACCTCCTCAACTGTCAATCTCTGAGGTGCACCATAGTCCCCGCCTCAAAACTTCATTTTTTCTAAATCTATTTTACGTCCCATATCCAGTGCTTGTTCTGCCATTGCTGAATCTTTCAGTAACGCTCGATATTCATCTGCGTTTCTCGGCGATCCCGTGTTCTTGAGTGGTCGTTGGAAAAAGTCCAGTCCAAGTGCGCTGACGTCACTGTAGTGAATGCACTAATTTCATGGGCAGACCGCGCACTCCAAGCAAAATACTGGGTGCCTGTGAGCCGATCGCGATAGGCAGGATTCAGCCGTATGTCACAAAGGCAACTGGAGTCCGGCTAAGTCATCCGCATCGCTGCGTCCGAAAGAAACGTGCCTGAGTTCACTTACGGCTACTCCTGCCCTTAAACTGGCGTACCTCATCTGACTCATTGATCCGTGTGCAGTGCTCCTTTTTATTAATAGGCATCCGTGACTTGGTATTTCTTTGTCGTCTAACATAGTTGCGCCTATCGATCAGCCGCCAGTCGGTATTTGTGCGTGTTAAAAACGAACACAGTCTAGAAATAGGACATTTTGCACTTTGGAAGCTGTACAAGGCATTCGCTTCACCAAAACAATGTGATAATACAAAAGTTCACTTTAAATGTCTGGTAACTAGCGGCATCATTGCAGAAATAGAAGGCACAAGTAATTCTGGAAATGTAAACTAGGTCAATGTGAAGTGGTACTAAGATTAGTTTTGCTCAGAACTGTAATCTCGATCACTAATAATGTTGCGAGCACCTCTTGGGAAAGCCACCGTGGCTCCAGGCTGACAAGCGGAACGCTCTCTGATGTTAATTTACGCGGATTGGTTGAGCCTGTGCCTCGCTGCAATCCTAGATGGAAGTCTCGTGCCTGAAAGCAAGTCAGTCGACGATTGAACTTCTACTGCCTGGACAGCCACATAACTCCCAAAGGATGAGAGAAAGTTGAAATCACTTGCCGAATGGAGAATCATCTGGGACACCACAATGACAATAGTTTGCCTGTCAAGTACAATATTTGGGAGCGCGGTATATCACCCACACTTCTTTGTGGAGCAGAAACTCGAAAAGGCTTCTAATAGTTCAGCATTGTCTATGTCAGGTGTGCTTTTCTCGAGAGAGCATGGTGGAGAGACAATGCGCACTCTGAAGGTGAAGTAGTTTGGGACACGTCCTTCATATCAGGCGGTCGTCCAGTGATTTTCTTAAATCTATGTGAGAGGTTTCTGTGATCTACAGTGACTAGTGACACCTTCAATTACGCCGTCATTGAGTTGCCTACCTGTCAAAGCTGTCATTTTCAATATGTACCTTCCTCAACTCTATTTTTGCAGAAGGTGGAACGACTCGACTTAGATGAACGCATTAAGACTACTTACATTGGATGGCAGCAGTGTCGTATTCCACCATTCATCATCATCGACAGCACGATTTAAGTGTTCAACGCCGATGCTTCACTGCCGTATTCCACCATTGCTGATGATCAGAAACAGCTACTTGAACCATCATGCACGTTTTGTAGCTAACGAACTGAACTATTCGGTGGGTTACCTAGGATCCGAGGACCATTGAGTCGATCGTAACTCAAAAAATGACTTAGCTTCTCCGCTTATAAGAGAACGTGTGATGCGTTTCGCCATATTTCAGGATACACTAGGTTGAAGTGGAATTTTGGGAAATTTAACCATGAAAAACAATCGATGGAGGGTCGATAGGGTGCACCAGGTGTTACAGATAGCCGATCATTCTTCCGAAATTCCAGACATCCTAGGGAGCATCTGAATGTTACTTCATTTCCCCTATATTTTACGGTGCATGGCTTAATATACAATACGCTTAATCTGTGTTGTCAGTTTTCTAGTTTGTCTTGTGCGTAACTGGTTGGCTTTTTCTATAGAATCAGTGCATATTTCTAAACTATTTGGTTGACTAATCCCCTTATTAATTCAACATTCTGTTCGGTTGTATTACTTTCATTTTCAACTTGACGCACATCTACACATCCGTCATGGCAGTAAAAATCCTAGTTTAATGGTGTGTGAACTGAGCTCGGGGTTCCACTTACGACCATTTCGATTTCCAACTGTGATTAGTACGCTCTTACCTTCTCTCTTTCTGCAGTAATGGTCGTCTCAGTGTCATCAAGGAGGTCATCTTTCCGATGTTTTAGTATGACTACTCCCTTATGTCAATCACATTTCCAAAGTCCATTGACCGAAATCGGGTATGACCTGGTACTCATCACTACAGTCAATATTAGGGGCAGCGCTTTATGGGAATAGTCTGGTTGCATTCCACTGACAAGAGACCAAAGTTAGCATATTGATTCCTCACGAAAGCTGATCCAAGTCGGTCCTATTAGAAGGTGGTTGTACTGAGCGGGGAGCGATATGTAGGATGAATCACCGCAGTTGAGCAGCATATACAGAAAGTATTTTACAACATGCGGTTCCCTTTATTGAAACACTACTTTTACTCCTGCCGTTTTGATCACGTTGACTACACTTCCGCAGCTTTTGTTCACTGTAGGACTTTCACTCGCAGACTGAAAACTCCTCTGTAAAAGCAGCATATGGTTTGGTAGCATGTTATGGCATATGCAGTATGCCTACATATGAACCTGAAGCTGACGCCTCATGCGTAATGAACACTATTCATCAGCTACATCCACAGCGTCAGGATGGCACTCTTTTCTAAGGCGTTTTCAGCGGAGACAGTGTTCGGTCATCAGCGAAAGGGCTACCTAATCCTCCCAATCCAATTGTCCTAGCTCTCCTTGACACAGCAGATCAGCAACATCTGTGAATGACCCCCAAGAAGAATATTCTATTGAGGTGTCCTAGACCAGAAAAGCAAAGCCCCAAAATCATGATTCAGCTCGATGACAAACCCCTTTGACTGCCCAATCACGTGTTAGTCACCCACACTAGCCATTAAACGA